AGGAGAAATTCTGTCTTGGTCACTTGTGGGGGTGAAAGGGTTAAGGATGTGGTCTTTTAGATCCAAATCCTTATCCTTCATCGGCCACTTTAAACCATAAAGATAGCCCTTTGATTTAAAAAAAAAAGAAAATGGAGTTACAGTAAGTTACATCCCTTTTGTTCGCAAGACTGATAACTGGCTAATCCTCATTAACCAAACAGGTCAAGAGAATAACAAAAATTTTCTGGGATATCATTTGGATCTGACCCCCAAATAGTCAGGACTAACCCAAATAGAAATTTATTGACACTGATTAGTTTGCTGAAGGCAGTTAAGGCTAAGCATCCCTGGGCAAGCATATTTAGAAACCACCCTCCCCTCCCCCTCAAATTCCACCCGTGGAAGGAGGGTTTCCTGGACTACATACAAGAATATCAGCATGGGTCCTTTGCGCTATCTACGTGCTCATTTCAACGGTTCATTTTATATTTCTAACAATTCTTCGGCAGTGGGCAGTTTTCATTTCTTGCATTGCGTTTTCCAACTCTGAAGTAAGGTGAATCAAGTTCACTGGATCAGTTTGAAATATGTCTGCGGACTTCTTCTCTCCCTGTTTTGTATGCAACCTCATAAAGATCACAGGGTTTGTCTGATGCTGCAGTGACCTGCTGGCAAGCTCTACATCGAATCTCCATTCCAGGTCGTGGTAATGTGGGGTTCGCAAGCTCATCTCTCCCAAGATGTTCCTAATTTCTTTGCGATTTTCCAAATACATCTTCAACAATGCACCGATCATTTCTTCGGAGAAACCAAGTGTCATGATGGAATCTTGAAAATCAATTTCGCCGACCATCAAGCGAGAACTCTCTGTGAAGACATGCTGTAAACCACTAATTCCATTTTTCACGGTGTCCACTTCAACAGCGAGCTTTTGAGCGGCCGCTTGGAAGATTTTGGGATTCGAAGAGCCTTTGAGAATAGAATCCAGGGATATTCGGGCAAACTCAAGGACCACATCGAGTTCCAAAGATGTTAAGAACTTCAAATGTTCTTTTTGCTGCTCAGAAAGAATAAGAAGCATAATAATCCTGGTAAGCGAGACAAGCAATGACAGAATCTGTATGGAGGAAAGGAGTGTAGACTGAAAGCAGGTTGAGGATTCCTGGAAACTAATCAACTTGGTAGCCAAGCTTTACATTCATTATGGCGGACGATGTCTAAAATTGCACTTGCTTTTCCGACGAAATGGCCTCGGTCAATACGTTATCAGAAGTGTTAGAAAACTTATCAATCGAAGCGAAAGAACTATATCTCAGTTCAGAGGTGTCAAGGCTTGGAAAACCTCCGACTCCCCTGGAATTTGTGAGGGACTGGGTGAGCCCTAATGTTCCAGTTATCATCAAAAACGCGTTCAATCATTGGCCAGCGCTTAAAAAATGGAATTGTGATTATTTGAGACAGAAAATTGGACACAAGACCGTAACTGTTGCGGTCACACCCAATGGATATGCTGATGCGGTAGTGGGAGATAGGTTTGTCTTACCAGAAGAACGGGAGATGGAATTCTCCAAGTTTGTAGATATTCTTGAAGGAAAATCTAAAGAAAGAGGGATATTTTATGTTCAGAAACAAAATTCCAACTTAACGAGCGATTTTAAAGAATTATGCGAAGAAGCAGCATGTGATGTACCTTGGGCAACCCAAGCATTTGGCAAAAATCCTGATGCAGTCAACTTTTGGATGGGAGACAATAGAGCAGTCACCTCGATGCACAAAGATCACTATGAAAACTTGTATTGCGTGATTTCTGGTACTAAAGTTTTCACATTGTTACCACCAAGTGATCTGCCTTTGGTTCCTTATGAATTATATTCACCAGCCAGATATAAAGCTAACAATGATGGAGTATTTGAAATTGTTGATGAAGTTGATGAGAACTTAACAAAAACAGCACCAAAACAAAAAGTGCCCTGGATTGCTGTTGATCCACTGAATCCAGATCTGAATAAATATCCGAACTATGCTAAAGCTAACCCTGTCAATTGTGTAGTGAATGCAGGGGAGATGCTATATCTACCTTCCTTGTGGTTTCATCATGTTCAACAATCTCATGGGTGCATTGCAATCAATTTTTGGTATGATATGGACTATGATATCAAGTACAACTACTACAAATTTGTTGAGGCTGTGGCTGGCCTTGCCAACAATCATTCGTAAATTTTTTTTCTGCTGGGAAGCAACGGCTCACTTTTGACAACTCATACAAATTCAGAGGCCCTTCATTGGAAATTATCCTTTCATGATAGGTGAACATTTTTGTTGATTCTGCTCCAGCACAAGTCTGTCATCGGCATCAGTGGGCTGAAAAACAGATAGAGTTTGACTTCTACTAGGTATTCTTTGAAACTTGGAAAATCTTGTTGAAATCAAAGTCAGTGTTTTTTTACTTGTCTTAGATGCAGACTTGTCGAATGATCAAGTTGTGACAGAACTGTTTCTCACTGTAAGATAACCTCTCACAAATTGGTTGTTTAATTCAGGTCAACTCTTGCCATGCCATTAGTCCCACAGCTAAGCATATCATGTATAGCTACAGTGCATGATTTCTACAGGTAATCATGTCAAGTTTGCACACTTTTTATTGCTTGCTCATTTGTATATTTTTACAAGTTTAGAAGTAAATTATCAGTTCCACTTACTGTTGTGACCATTTTTTTTCATTCAGTGTATAATAAAACAATTATTACATTCAGTTTTTGTGATATCCAGATTAAACAAGATCTTGTTAAGGGTTATCAGCCAAAGACTTTGACTTGGGCTGTTAACCCCCACCTTGACCATTCTGGTTATCACAAAAGCATCATCCAATAATTGTTTAACATTACCAAAGCTTATTCTGTGTGTAGTTCTCTCTGATCAAGGATGTGTTTCCAATGTAAACATAAGTTGTGAGTGATTGAAGAGCTACCTCTCTTATAAGATGCCTTTCCTGAGAACAGTTTAAGTGAGCCAGTGGCATTAGCTCACACCTGGAACTTACCAAGGTTAATTCAAGAGCACTAATTTACATTATTCCCTTTAAAATATTCAGTTGAGATTCTTTGATTTAACTTGACATAATAAATCTTTAACCATGAAATAGTAATGGAAAAAAATGAAGTAAAATGATGAGGTAACCATGCTTGTTTTATCACTGTGTGAAGTTATTTCACATGTTCTCTACTTAATTGCACAGGAAACACTTAAACCTTGCATCAGAACTACCACCTCCACCACATACAATTTAACCCTTGAACTCCCAAGATCTGACTGTTAATCCTCCCCTCTAGCTGCTACATATTTATTTGTCCAAGTCTGGTTTTCGATCAAGATGACAACATCTACCTGATGAGACCGAGTATTCTCATTACCTTTTTGCTGGATAATGTATGAATACTATGAGAAGTTACATGTTGATCAACTATGATAGTTAGAGCATTAATTTAGTTTCTTCTTCCAATACAAATTAACAATTAGTCTATTGTTCAACCTGTTTCCCCTATTTTGCATGATACCATTTTGAGAAATAAAAGTACTCCATATGGTTAATTCCATTCATTATACAATCCAGATGGTTTTCATGTCATTACACAAATTCTCAGTTCCCTTTTTAATCGGGGCTTTCAATGCAGGGAAGCACAAATGCCACAACACAATGAGGTAGGAAGCAAACTGTGACACAGTTGTTTCTCATCATTTTTTTTTTAATAAACAAGAAATTAAATTAGTTCTGGTAACTACAGCAAGAGTAACCACAGGAGATAGGCCTTTCCATGCTAGAAAAAGATTATAACAAATTTAACCCAGCAAAGAGCAAGAGAATATTACCAGATAACAATTCAGTATTTCCACATTTTCCTCTAAAAAGAAATGATAAATGTATACCTAGATGATGAAGAGGCCCTTTTTTTTTTTCTGCAAGCTTCTTCACATGAAGCAATTTGATACACCACCTAAATCTCAGTCACACACCATTTAATTAGGTGTGCTTTGTGGAGATCTTTTCAGTCAATAAAAATGCCTAGATGCATCAGATTCAATTAAAGTTCATCCTTGGCTTTTGTTTCTTCATCTTCTGTTGCACTCTCTTCACTTTCTGTTTCTTCCTTACCCTCCTCTGTTTCATCTTCTTTTACCTCCTCAGATTCTTTGCCTTCTTCTTCCTGCAGAAATAAAGAAAGCAAACAATTAAAGTAACCAATTTTTTATCAACACACTATGGACTTTTTTTTTAGTGTATGTTATGAGCATTTGAAGCTAGGTATTTTTCCCCTAAAGACACATTTGGGCTTGAAAAGACAAGTCACTGTTGCATATTGAAATGAAATTAAAGTTTAATAATAATGAAAAAAGGTATAATTTTTAACTGTTCTAAAATTTTTCCACTCCATCTCGTCTTGATTATAAGACGCACCTCTTCCTCTTCCTCATCCTCTTCATCTTCTTCCTCTGCTTTCTTCTTGTCCTCCTCTTCTTTCCTCTTCTTTTCTTCTTCCTCTCTTTCTTTGCGTTCCTTTTCATCCTGCTCATCCTTCATTTTCTTTTCACCTTCCTTGGTTTTCTCAAAAGTTTCCTTTGCAAATTGTTCTGCATACTCCACAGAATCTGTTACAAGGATATTATCAAAAATGGTTCCAGATTTAACCTGGAATAAGAAAAGGATTTTAAAATAAAAAGCTCTGTTAGACCCCACTCTTTGACAAGTCACAAGTAGTGAACAGAAAACAATTATGGCTTACCTGCCACAGATCAAATCCAATGGCACCAATGTCATCATACTTGTAAAGTTTGTCATCAGGTTGGTATTCAGGGTTGTCAATTTCTGGGTGGATCCACTCTCCCTTGTAGTTAGGATTGTCAATCTGTTTGGGTTTCCATTCTCCCTAGAGGGGAAAAAAGGTAGAATAACTATAACTGTTGAAATTAAAATGAGTACATATGATGATCAGGTCAGTTGCGAAACATCCCTTCAATTTTTGCTAACAGGGTTGTCCACCAACCTTGTAGTCTGGGTTGTCGATCATTGGAGGTTCCCATTCACCATCAATCTCATCATCCCAGTCATCAGGCTTCTTAGCATCAGGATCAGGGATGTGCTGAGGCTTGTCCCAATCCTGAAGCAGAGAATTCTCACATTAAATTACACTGAGAACAAATGTGCTCAAAAAATAATTCGCTCTTCTTCCCAAAGTAAAAACCAAACTTCCTTCAACATGCAAATAACCTTAAGATTCTATGAATTCTTTTCTATATACCCTTGCAAGTCAGCTACAAAGTGGTAAAAAGATTTTACAAGTTCACAGGGTTACCAGATTAGACACTGAACTCACCTCAGTTAAACCTAACACACAACACTATTAAATTTACCTCAGGTTTCTTATCCTCTGGGTCATCAATCTTCTTTTTATCATCCCAGTCCTCTGGTTTCTTGGCCTCAGGATCTTTTATCTTCTTTGGTGGCAGAAAATCCCAGTCAGCTTCAAGCTCGCCACTTTCAACCTTCTCTCCATCAATACGAACCTCATAGGTGTTATCAGACTTCACAATCAGTGTGTAGAGATGGGTGAACTCATCATCCTGAGAGAAAAATCTGCTGGTTAGGCAAGTATAAACTGTTGACTTGGAAGAGAGGTTTTTCGTGAATTTAATTAGCTTGGAAGCAAGTATTTTGAGATTCAATGCATTCGGTGGACAAATATCAAAGAAACTGAGATGAACCCACAACCCTTGACTAACCTTTGCACTTGCAACTTCACTCATACATGTAACATCCTTTATATCATGCAACTTGCAATTGGTTTGAACAGATATCTCACTTTTCATTTATCTTTCTCCCAGTTTCCCCACCACAAAATGTATTTTATCATATGTATTTATATGATTTTTTTTTTTTTTTGTATTTAGTTAACCTTTTCACCATCCTTATACATGTTAAAAGTTTCAATTCATTGAACTGACACTTGAATACCATTAAGTTCCTATCTTTTTCACTACTTCTCTATCCTAGCCTTAAAATGCTTTTTTTGTGTTTTGAGAATTTGGTGCCATATTAGAACAATAAGTCCAAGAGATAAATACTACCCCTCGATTATTTCAGAGTGGAAGGCCAACTAAAATTCTCACAAATGTGAGTTTGGTTGATGTTTTTTTATTTACCTTGCATCTGATGTCTTTCTTAGTCAGCAAGTTTTTCCCTTTGTAGTTAAAAATCACGTGTACTTTTTTGGTGCCAGGTCCACAGATATCAGGTCCTACAATCAGGCAAATCGATAAATACGTAAATTACACTTTAAATCAGTATGAAAGGATTAAACCTCCAAGGAAACTGTCTCTATGCTACGACTTTCTCTAGAAAAAATCCTTGCCAACAACTTACCGAACATAATGTGGTATGGAGTATCGCCATGAATGTTCTTCTGGTCCACTTTGCTGTCATAAACCTAAAAAGCAACGACGAAATGCGAAAAATCATTATAACGTATATGTACCCCCGATAACATAATGATCCCAGCACATTCAAGAACATGTTGCTGTTGGTTTCACCGGGTCCAGCTATAAATGGGCAGACAAAATAATAAATGCTCTCTACAAAAACAATAAACTTCATTCTCCATAGGGAAATTAAAATTTACTTTAAATATGTACCTTTACGTAACCACCACCACAGTCGATGTTCTGTTCATGTTTCACTTGGAACTGGATCACAAAGGTCTTGTCTTCGTTTGAAAAACTTTCCTCAAACTTGGCCGAAATACCGTAAAATTTAGCATCTTGGCTGGTTTGAATACCTGTAAAAAAAATCAGATTTGTGTAATATGGTGCCTTGTTTACAAGTTATAAGATTGCTATTTTACGTAATTTAAAAGAATTTCTTTAAATCAGCTTTGCAGCTGAACTATCCAAAAGAAGTCATCTTTGAGTCACGAACATGCACTACGACTGCAAGTGAGGGATGTGCAGATTTGTCATATACCTTTGTCTAAATCTGCATCACCGTAGAATTTTCCAGCAGTCCAAGTAAATTTTCCAGCGTCACTTCCTTTGAAAGTGGATTCCACCCATCTGTCCTGATAACTTTGGTCTGATGGAAACAAAATTTCAGAATCGTTCAGGAATATTGTGTAGGACTTACCTCCTGCAAAAGAAACGTAAACAACGAGAACCCACCTTCAAATTTCTCTACAAAATAGATTTTTGTCTCCTCTGCTAATACGCATGAGAATAGGGCTAGTACGAGTAAACAACCAAATGCCATGATTTTTTTAAAACCAGACTACAGAAAGTACAACTGAATCGATGACTTCAACTAAATTTCTAACTATGTCAAACGACCATGTGAACAAAACCGTTTTGGCCGGCCTTCTGCGTGGTGAGCTGTGATTGGTTAATTTTCACCATGTGGTACAAATTGTCCAACCAGAAAGCACCACACGTCTCGGCCTCCGTGACTAGATTTAGCTTCCGTGGAAGCGTCACAAGACGCGAATGTGCTTGGGGGACCGGGCAATTTGAAAGAGACAATAAGTAAAGATTATTTGACAAGGAAAAAATGTTAAAATCTTCATTGTAACTTTCGCGTAAATACTTGTGCGTTACGCACAATGAGGTTATGAGAAATTCAATGAAATGTTGTTGAAAGAGTATTTTGAGATAAAACTTTATCACCCTGAACACAGGGGGACTTTTGGCACATTTGCCTTATTTGTGTTTTGTATACGTGGAGGTTGAGGCCATTTTGAATATTTTATACAAGAACAAAGACTCTAGACAACACTTTGACAAGTATCTTGATCACGGTGATCACTAATAGCGCGCGAGACATAATGTTTTCGAACCCAGGCTTCTCTGCGCCTCCCGAATGTGAATGTAAAAAGCGTTTCTCTGAACTTTGGTGCAAACGTTCTTGAGGAACACACCCAATCAAAGATTGACTAATCTCTTCACGGGATCGTCTTGAGGTGGTATTCATACATTACAGCGAAGACGAGTTAATATAAAACACGCCTTTTAAATTATTACAAGCAGCCATTGACAAACGGCTCACGTGTAACGGTAGGTGGGCCGAGGTTGTGTCTGGACGTGAGAGGCCATTCAGAGAGGCGCTGACTGGCACCCGTTAAAAACAAAGGAAACACCATAATACATTCTACACGACAAAACTATCACTTCTCATCACCAAGAAAGCTTTTATCGATGATCTTCGGTGCAGCGCAAAGTACACCTCAATAACAAGAGTGTCGTCAACACTAAAGGGCAAGTCAACTGCGATTCCCTGACACACTTCTGGAACGCGTCTTTTGCCATTTATGTTTGGCTTGGTGCTCGATTATTTTTTCGTTTAGCTACAGTTTCCGCACTCAATAAAAAACTGAGTTTAAATCTATCAGAAGTTGAAGGAGACTGCGGAAGATCGAGATTAAATAAGTTTGCTCTAAATGAAATAAACACCAGGATTTAGAAGTGGACATTCCAGGAGGTGGCTCTCCTTCTCCACTGTTTCCAGGTCGAGTAGGAATTTAGAGTGTTGGTTTTTGTGGAGGGAGGAACTGGAGTACCCTGAGAAAAACCCGACGAAAATAACAGAACCACGTACTAGTGAAAACAATAATTTATTCTTACTCCCAGAATTGACCCTAGTTTTTTACTTGATCTAACAAGTACCACACAGTCAGGATCTTCCATTACAAAAGATAGCGATAAAAGCCTGACGAAGTAGAGTAATAACTGTTCAAGACGATGCAAAATATCAAAAATTTTCAAAGCAGACGAAATTGATCAAAATTAAACTACCAGAAACATTGACATCTTCCTAACTAACGCAAGCCTTGAATATCTATATCAACCTAAACTACAATTTGGGTCAATTTTTCTTCCCCACCCCTGGTTAAGTCTGACAAACAAAAGTCGACAACAAGGGAAACTTATAAAAGTAAAAATTAAAGAGACGAAGAGTATGCTTGATAATCAAGTATTGCCATTTCACAATTTGGGGCAAAGAATAAACGACTTGTTCAGAAAGAAGGCAAATAAAAAAACGACAAATAGAACATTTAACTTTAAGTACCCTTTGTTCATGTCTAAAAATTTTAAGCTAAATGTAGTTACAGACAAGAAAATACCTATCAAAAATTTTTTTCTTACATAATTATAAATGCCCTGTTCGACGCAGAGCGTGAGGATCAATAATTTAAAATGACACACTGCTATTTACGATCCTGAAAAAAAATAATTTTACGAATTACCTTTCGGAACTAAATTCGATAGGAATGCAGCACGCAAACGTTAAAATTAGAAAAGTGTCTTTTGAACCTAAGCTATTGATACTTTCGCACTGTTCACCCTTTAACCCTTTAACACCCGAGATCTCATGAGTAATTCTCCCTACTGTCTAACATAAAATATTTATGATTTCAATTTAGAGAATTTAGTATTGGATCAACTTGTAGTCCCCTAATTGAGTTATCTTCTTTATTCTCCTCATTTGTTTGCTTGATTCTGTGTTGATATTGTAAGGAGAAATTCTGTCTTGGTCACTCAAGTTAAAGGGTTAAAACAAAAACGAGGACGATACAATTTCCGAGAGAAAAACATGTTGTCGGCTATACCAAGATTGCAATACAAATTGACGCTACAAGGTGGTGAACTAAAACTATTTCTTGTCAAAATAATTTTTGTTACAAAAAAATTACAGTTGTAATCCCCGTGTTTGAGGTAAATAGAGTAACACTGAAGTTTATAGGCAAGAAAAAGGACACAACTAACTAAGAACAATAACTACGATATACCTTTGGAAGATATAACTACGATATACCTTTCCCTGTGAAGTTTGCCTTTATCAAATCCTTAGCAAAGTCTGATATAAGCAAAAAGTTTATTTTGAGAAATCTAAGAGTTATTTAGCAGCGCGCCCTTGAGGGGAAATTTAAGGTTTGTATCTAATCCAGGGTTATAAATCAAAAAGTTTCTTTTGAGAGATCTAGGAGTTATTTAGAGGTGCGCTCTTGAGAGGAAATTTAAGGGTTGTATCCAATCCGGGGTTATGAATCTGAAGAGTGTTCACATGGTAATATTCCACCAAGTCCTTTAAAGTTGGGTAATTGGTGTAATTTGCAAAACCATATCCCCCTGGGCCTCTGTTTACTGCTATGTGTTTGACTTCACCTCCGTGCCTGAAACAAAGAACATCAACATCAACATTTACTTATATGAGTCTTACATGGGAAGCAGAGTCAAATATTTGTTTGATTAATTCGATCAAGAATTCTCCGTAAAAGTAATCTCTCCCAATAAGATCATTCATTAATTCAAACAATCTACAACCGACGGCAAACTTTGACGGCTTGAGATTCAAGACTTCCCTTAGTTTTCTTGGTCAGTTCTGTGAGTCAGACTCCAAACAACCTGAACTTTTGCATGTTTTCGTTTTCGAAGGGAGATATGATTCTGGAGTTTTCTTTTTACTGGTTTACAGTACGCTTTAGAAAAATAGTCTCAGCAAAGAACGCCCTCTTTCTGAGCAAGTATGCATCACTTCGCAATAGGAACGTCTGCTTGTTTCTGATGCATGAAAAGAATTGCGTAGAATGCCGCATGGAGAATGGAAATGCCTCTTCAAATCGAGGACGAGGAGCAAACCACCGAAAGAAAGATTAGAACCATGTTTGTCGACTAAAACAAACGTCAAATGCAAATTTTCCGTACCTTTACCGCATTTAAACACACGGCAAAAGAAAACAAAGTGCAAGCCTTTCATTGCCTTTTGGGTACTTGCGTTAAGTTGACTTACTTAAGACCCACAGCATACTCTCCTCGCCTTCGCGCACTTTCCCTTACGAGGAAAGTACCTTCTTCTTTGTCTATTAAAAGTGATTCTGCTTCTTCCCTGAAGAGCAAAACGAAAATCAAATATATTCCTAAGTAATCCAGTGATATTATAAACGATTGGAAGCACTCGTAAATTAAAACTTTATTGACATATTTCATATCCATCCCGGTACAAAGGCTCGAAACGCAATAAAATAATGTTTGCTATAGACTGTAAGAGGTTAAGATGCGATCATCTCCTAAGGCGAAAATCAATTCCATAATAACATACTACGCTTAGAAATCGTTCAAAAGCTGTCCATAGACTGTGAGCGCGAAACGTGATCTACGACCTAAGTGCAAGGCGCGTATCAAAAACAAACCCTCTTAAAACTCACGATAAAACATCGGATAAGAAGGGAGGCGGAAATGAATCAGACAAATTCCTGCAGAGTTACCATTTAATCTAAAGCCATTTTAAGATTCATTTGCGTTAAGAAATGGCGTTCTGGAGCCTATGATACTCATATGCACTGATCTGAAGATCTTAAATGATAAACGTGTCCTTAGCCAAGTGATCACTACTGCTCTCATAAAAGCTCTCATAAAATGGCCGCCCCCAATAGAATGAGAAGTCTAACAAATCCGGAAATTACAGTAAAAAGCCGGAAAATCGAGAGAACTCAGCTGGCCTTCATGGGAATTTTACATTATTGTTCATATACCAGTCTCAGCGTGTACAGAGAAACACCCGCTTACAAATAACTACTACTAAGTACCTTTAAATTTCAACCATAAGGCGTACCGGTATTGTCTGCCAAATTTACTGGTAAAAGTAAAACAACTATCGACTGAAACACATTAGCGACACAAGAAGTCCCATGGGCAGCTTTTAAATCAGTGAACTCTTCATACCTGGTTAGAGTTCCATGTAACCATTGTTCTTCAGAAATGTCTACTTGAGGCCTAAAAACCAAAACAATAACGATTTATAATCAATTATTGTTTCTCTCAGTCCAAGGTTATGAGGGAAAAGTCACATTTTATTACCTAATTCGTTCCCAGTTTTTGGAAACTCAAGCAGATTATTCTTTCCAAAATGATTTCCCATTCGAACTCAGTGCGAACTCAATGCCACTGACATAAATGATTAAATAGGTTTACCGGTCACCAGCTAAGTTTGAGAAAAATGGAAAATATTCATACAGAAAACATCATCTAAAACCGTGCTGTCAGGTAACTCAAGCTGAGTATTATTCTCACATTCCTCCAAACCATACAATCTACGCAACTGACAACGAGATATGATTGTACTCAGAATACTGACTAATAAACTGGTTTGTCAGCAGTTGAAATCGAATTAATAAAACCTAGCTTTCACACGTCAAGAAAATCCCCGATGATCGGCATTTTCACTATTTTCCAGTCCCAGATTTTTCCGACAAATGAAAATTCGAAATCGTTGAGGTTCGGCGAAAAATCGGGAACGTTTATATCATTTCCGATGCGTCCTAGAATTCGGCGTTATCCACGATATATGAAAACTTCAATTTTCATTGAATTTTTTTGATAGCTCGCCACCAGTCCCCTAGTTGCTTAGCTACAGAACCCCGAGCCACTAATAAAATTGCATGCAGAAGAATCTAAGACAGACGTCTGTCGATATATCGGCAAAATCTACGACGTCCGGGAAACAATGAAATCGTCGATCGTCTGGAATTTCCCCAACATATGAAAACCAGGCTTACTCTGATCCTCCTATAGCTGCAGGTAAAAACTGACCGTTGCTATGACACCCGACCCTAATTTAGTGCATTAAGTATCAAACAAAAAAACGTCAATCATAACTTACATATCGTAAATGTCTTCTTCAGGGTTGCCATTTGCCAGTCCACTGTTTAGAGAATAAAAATCGTGTCAGGCAAAATGCTGCCATCTTAACTATACACGTTTAAGCAGGAACATACAGAAAACCGCCCAAAACGTGACACAACAGAGGAGAGGAGGGAAAGG